CAGATCCTCTCAAGCTCTGTCAGGTTGGATGGGGAGTGTTGCTGCACAGCTATTTTCAGGTCTGTCCAGAGATGTTCGATCGGGTTCAAGTCCGGGCTCTGGCTAGGGTACTCATGGACATTCAGAGACTTGTCCCGAAGCCACTCCTGCGTTGTCTTGGCTGTGTGCTTAGGGTCATTGTCCTGTTGGAAGGTGAACCTTCGCCCCAGTCTGAGGTCCTGAGCACTCTGAAGCAGGTTTTCATCAAGGATCTCTCTGTACTTTCCTCCGTTCATCTTTCCCTCGATCCTGACTAGTTTCCCAGTCCCTGCTGCTGACCTCACCTGAGAGAGACATGCCGTCATGAGTCGTCTATGGACAATCCGAGTTAGATCACCTTCTGTCAGGTGATTCTTCTCCTCGTTAGGGTGAGGCACAGAACTAAAATGTGAGGCCCAGAACTCGAATGTGGTTCAAGAGGGTCCTCGTGTCCGTTGTGGCCTGTTCCCTGGATAGGTAATCGTCCAGGTAAGACAGTTACACCTCCAGTAGAATGTGCCACCACAGCAAAAGGGAAAAAGGCCGGTGGGCCAGCCAAAATGCTGCAGTAACAGTGTCCATCATGCAATGTGAGAGTCCGATTGGATAGGCCCTGGCCCAGAACTCTTTCACCAGACTAAACGAAAACTGATAAAGCTTTCGTATTGCCTGTGTCTGTGAAAAGTAAGTGTACATTGCCCTAGCCGGGCACAACACACTGGGGGAAGCCCCTAGTTCACCTGCAATAGCGAGAGGGGCGTATGTGGACAACTGTAATGGACAGTTAACTTGTTTGTCAGACAGAACCCTTGGCCAGAAAGAGAGGTTAGGATGTAGGTCGACACTCCTTTCATCTGAACACATTTGGAAAAATTCTGTAAACCAGGGCGTCAACACTAGAAGAACCTGAGACATTAGAGGAGCCAGAACTATAGCGGTGGCCGTCATCAGAATTGGAGTTCGTAGCCTTCCATCACTGTCTTCACTACCGATGGGGCTTCCACTTGCCTCTCTCAGTTTGCCCTTTAGACCTGTGAGAATCTGCCAATGCCAGCGGCAAGCACCTCAGGATGACTGCAGAGTGCCACCCTTCTTAGACGCAGTCCGCTGCCTGTGGGCAGGGACACCTTGCATTTCTCAAGGCAAAACGCCATACTGGAAATGGTAGTTTCTCTCTGTTGGAAGAAGAGAAGGGTAGTGTATACACTGCAGTTTAACAGAAAAATATGGCAACCCCGGCTACACACTGCGTAAGACCAGTGAGTTTCTAAGGGATACTAGGATAGTTACTGTCTGTACTGTAAAGTAGTGTAACATAACTATAGTAAACCCAGCTATACACTGAAAACCTCAGTGTAATAGAGCTGAGATGTGAGTTTCCAGGGGAAACTAAGTAGTTACTGTTTTACTGTAAAGTAGTGCAACAGAAAACTATCGTAACCCCAGCTACACACTGTGCAAGACCGCAGTGCAATAGCTGAAAAGTGAGTTTCCAAGTGTTAGGTTCTGACAGAGTAAAAAGCTAGACAGCCAATACATCTCTGTTGCTAGTCAGGAACTTAATTGGTTCCTCTCATTGGTGTAGCCTCCTGCTAGAACCTTCATGGGCGTGGAAATATATGTGTGTGACAGGACTGACTGTTCCTCCTCACTTCATCTGACCTGACCACGGGCCGAATTCCTCACTCCTCCCTACTCCACGGCTGTCCTACCTTATCAGTGACTGAAACCAGACTGTTGCCTTTTGCCCCTCTCCATAGGATACATGAGACTTAACAATAACATGTTCTGACAGAATATAAACTTTCTGCACTCCCCTTTCTTACTCAGTAACTTTCCAAACACCTAGTTCTCATCCACCCTCCATTGACCCCAACATATACATTCATTATACATGTAAAGTAATCAATAAGTTCTAGTATGGTAACATGAATAAGTATATTCCAAGCTAGAATCCAACACAAGGGAAAACTAGGATAGTCACTGAAAACTAGCATAGTTACTGTATGTAAACTACAGTAAACCCAGGTACACACTGTGTGAAAAAAACAGTATTGTAATAGATGTGTCAGTTTCCATTTAAGGGATAGTTACTGTCTGTACTGTAAAGTAGTGCATTAGAACTATAGTAAACACAGCTATACACTGAAATCCTCAGTGTAATAGAGCTGAGATATGAGTTTCCATGGGACACTTTGATAGTTAATGTCTGTACTGTAAAATAGTGTAACAGAAAACTATCGCAACCCAGCAACTGTGTGAAAAAATAACAGTGTAATCTCACTATGGTGGGGCTAGCATAAACTCAGCCTAATACTGGAGAATGCCAACAGTGTAATATTACTGTCTATAGTATACACTGTGCAATACTGTATGATAGTATAGAATGGGACCTACAGTATCAGCCTTAGTCTCATACACTATCTGAAGGAGAGGAGACATGAATGGCTGTAGCTTTTCCTTGTGGAAAACATTAATCCAACAGTGTAAAATACTATGTCTATAGTAAACACTGCGCAATACTTTATAATAGTAAAGATTACTATGGACCTACAGTATCAGGCTTTGCCTCATACACACTATCTGAAGGAGGAGACGTGAAGTGTGAACTGCCTGACCGTCAAGGGCAGGGCATTCTGCCTCTCACACATTTATAGCTTATTTCTTGCTTTAAATGTGTGAGTCGGCTGTAACCCACACCATACTTATAGCTTATTTCTTGCTATATACGTGGGGGTTCAGGTTGGCAGGACTTAATGGAAAGTGTGTTTATAACTGTGCTTAGTCCTGCAATGGTCATTTCTGGTTAAGCTAGCTAGTTTGCATAGTTTATTCACTGTGGTATGTACAAGCAGGGTTGCCAGGTCTAGCTAAAGTATCTAGCCCAATGACCTCTGAAAACCCACCCACAAGGCCTGAAAACTAGCCCCAAAAACTGTTTTCGCTGCAAGAGGAGTTGCCACATTTATCCAATAAACCCTTTTTCCATAACGTTATCGAGCTAAATAAGAAGGAATATCGACGTCATTTTTTATGATGTAGGCTAAGAAGCAAAATATGAATATGTCGCAAGAGAAAAAAAAATCACACTTATTAAACTCTCCAGATCATTTTCCATCAATGGATGTCGATTTAACTTATTTTGACTGCTATGATTAAGCAATAAGGCCCGAGGAGGTTTGGTATATGGCCAATATACCACGGCTAAAGGCTGTTCTTAGGACATAGCCCTTAGCCGTGGTATATTGGTCATATACCACAAACCCCTGAGGTGCCTTATTGCTATTATAAACTGGTTACCAATGTAATTAGAACAGTGCAAGTGTGGTACATGGTCTGATATACCACGGCTTTCAACCAATCAGCATTCAGGGTTCAAAGCACCCAGTTTATAATTGTAAATAAATATAGTTTGCAAATGTGCATAACTATAGATAAATCCGACAGGAGAGTTTGAGTGATGAAAGTTGGGACAGAGGATCTCGAAGTCGCTGTGCAAGAGACACTTGGACGAACTTCAAAAAACTAATGTTAGGCTATTTTCTGGCAATTGTGCCTTTATTATATGCCAGATGTTAAGGCTACAAACTGTTATAAATGGCCTATTTGCAAGATTGCCTTGTTATTTCAATAGGCATAGGCTACTGACTAAAATCTGGGTTTAGAATTGCAATTCAACTTTGCCATGGTTTGCTGAGCTAGATGCAGGTAGCCTATAGCCCCTGATAGGCCTACATCTAATTTCAGGGAAAAGTCCACAATGAAACTAACATTAAGTGTTGCGATAGAGCTGTGACCATGATCACAATGGATAACTTTCAATTTAATTAACTAAACATGGCAATTAATAATTGCATAATAGCAAGGCTACAACAACAAACTGATTTATAGGCTATTTATTAAATCCGTTTGCCAGCTCCAGGTAGGATACACAAGTGGCACAAATTGATATGCAATGACTACAGTGATATCGTCATTTCAACATATTTGTTGTATCAAATGGTAGGTTACAGTAGCCTACATAGAAATTAATAGCCTACTTGATGGCCAACAGATGCAAATGTACCCTATCATTCTCCACATTTAATGTATTTTTCATTGTGGACTTTTTCCCGATAACAGAAGCATGCGAGGGAGTTCCATAACTTCCATTTCAAATGTCCACTCGTGCAGCGCTCCAGACCCTAGAACTGAGCACGAGTAAAACCCTTCGCTTGACATGGTTATCAATAAGAAAAGTCGACATTCGAATGCGGTTGACTTTAAACCACCTCTGAGCGAATTCATCTAAAGAGCTCTAGTGCGCCTAAAGTTGTTTTCCAATGCTTTGTCGACGTTATATCAGTTCTAACGCTTTAATATGTTTTATGGGAAAAGGGCGTCTCCATAATGACCAATCTAAATAGCCTACCAACAACTGGTAAAAAGTTGTCACGACGTGCGCGTGCTGCTCTGTTTCTGTGACTTAGCTGACTCTGCTGCAGCACTCTCTCAACCAGTGCTCTCTAAAAGCACACACGGCCTTCCCCAGCATTCACTCACTCAGTAACAGCCTGCTAACTGCCTGATAGTCAGCAGCAAGTAACAGTGATATGTATAGTAAAAACAAGAGAAATGCCATGGCGGCCGCGGTGCAATTTAGAAGTAGCCCAAAAACCCACCACCCGTGACCAATACATTTCCACCAGCGACATCGTTTTCAAAGTAGCCCAATTTGCTCTGAAAACCACGAACATGGCAACCCTACACACAAGCGTGTAGGCAAGATGGCTCAGCCTCGTGAAAGATGAAAACATGGTGCGACACCTAGCTCAGAGGAGAACTGTAAGTCCGCCGGAGCGAAACATACAGTCTCTCGATCTTGCGGGGTAAGCGTCCCCGAACTCGAAGGCTAAACCGGGAGGGTTCCCGGTGGACAGACAAGTCACACAGACATCTAGACAAACCCTCAGCGCCGCAATACAGTACTGGTCGACCAAACCATGTATCGCCCAGGTTGTACTAAAAACAAGGACAAAACCCAAACGAGATGGCACAAGCCAAAACGAGTGGGGGGACAGCAGAGCACCCAGATGGAGATGCTAGGTGCTCCAAGCTATTGAATAGTAGCGGGTATACTTCTGCGTTTGTACACAACATAGAGCTCTTACCAAGCTAATCCTCTTCTTCTTTAAGTTTTTATTGGCGGATCGCAACCAACTGACAGGTGCATACACCGCCACCTACTATACTGGAGTGCGAGGCCGTTCACGACCTATCTATAACATGGGTTCCCCCCAAAAAATAACTTGGGGGGGCCCCCCTTCCAGCATTGGGGAATATCCTGCGCGCTCACGCACCACGTATATTTCTATGGGCACAAGCACCGTTCATTTTACCTTTATTTAACTAGGCAAGTCAGTTAAGAACAAATTCTTATTTACAATGAAGGAAACTGTTCACACCCCTCTTGTTGGTGCACAGAATTATTTTTTATTTTATTTATTTTATTTTTATTAGGAATTATGTAGGTTTAATGCTTATTTCCTGCAATTCTACACGTTTTGTCATGGGGGGGTGCAAAGAACATTTTGCAGTTTTAAAGCACATTTTCTTGCTATTCTATACATTTTGCCATGTCTAATGTGTATTCATGTGATATTTGAGTGACCAAAAATTACAACAATATCTATGGGCTAAAAAAAATTAAATAAAAAATGTTTAACTGGCGCGCCCCACAGTTTGGGAACCACTGATCTATTCCACTAACCCTGAATGTCTAATAAAATAAAATAATTCCCTACAAACCTCACTACTCACATCACCCCCACCCAAAATACCATCCATTCCCCAAACCTCACTACTCACATCACTCCCACCCAAAATACCACCCATTCCCCATTCCGGTCTAACCTCTCTGACCCTGTCAAACAACCTCTCCCTTTCTACATCATATATTTCACAAAATAATAAACATGTTCAACCGTTTCCTCTACCATAAAACCATTACACATTCCAGTACCATGTTTCTTTATCAATTTCAAAGAGAAATTAAATCCTGTATGCCCTAATCTCATCCTACATAACATAACTTCCTCCCTTCTGCTCCCTTTTTATGACGCTATCTCCCGTACAGATTTCCTTGTAAGCAAATCCTCTCTGTAATTAATTGAGAAAAGGAAGAGGTGGAAGTCTTCTTCTTCTTCTTCTTCTTCTTCTGTTTCTTCTTCTTCTTCTGTGGTTTTGACATGGCGGTTGGCAACCAACTTTAAGTTCCATTACCGCCACCAACTGGACTGGAGTGTGGACCAGAGACAGTGAAAGTCTAAATCCTGCCCAATATTCTCGTCTCCCTAAGGAAACGAAATACATAATTAAATACTACATCCCCTGAAGATTTCCCCAGCAGTTCACTTAATCCTTGCTCTTCAACCCCATTACTCTTCAAATCTAATAACAATCACTCCCTTTCCCTCCCATATTTCTGGCACTGAAATAGAAAATGTTCCACTGTCTCCATCTCCTCCTGACAATGATCACACCTCCCAGTCGGATGTTTTCCCACCAATTTCAATGTACTATTGAGCCTTGTGTGTCCCAGTCTCAGCCTTGTGATTACACTTTCCTCCCTTCTCTCTCGGCCTGAGGACCTCCCTGCCTCCACCTTTTCCTGGATCTTATACAGGTGTCTTCCCTTTCTCTCACTATTCCACAACTCTTGCCATTTGTTTTCAACCACTGTTCTTATTAACCCCTTGGCTTGTGCTTTACAGATTGACAATTCCATCTCAACATTAGGATGTTTAAGAGCCTGCTTGGCGATAACATCCACCTCCTCATTCCCCTCTACTCCCACATGAGCTGTTACCCAGAGGAACATCACAAATACCCCCATCTGTTTCACCCTATAAAAGCACTGCACAACCTCATACAATAAATCCTTTCTGCTCTGAGACACACATGAATTTAAGCTCATCAGTGCTGCACAGGAGTCAGAGCAGATGACTACCCTGTCTGGCCACACCTCCTCCACCCACTCTGCAGCCAATAGTACGGCCAACAACTCCATTGTGTAAACAGATAAATGATCCGTTGCTCTTTTTATCTCTGCCACCTTAAACTCAGGAACATTAAAATCTGCACCTGTCCTCCCTGTTTTAGGGTCCTTCGATCCATCTGTGAATATATTCAAGAAAGCATAATATTGTGTTCTTAAATGTTCACTTACAACTGAATCTACTCCTCAACAGCTCATACCCTCTTAAGCAACCCTAGATCTATCACTGGCTGAGGAAGAAACCAAGGTGGGATAGCAGGAAGAACCACAGAGGGGGTAAACTCCCTCCAAAACAACCCCATCTCTGTCGCCATGGCATTGCCTATCCACCCAAAGCTTGTATTCAGATTGTGTTCATGTTCCCAGCACTCTAGGAGCACCTTTTTTGTAGGATGTGTAACCATATGTCCCTGTAGATTTACCCAATATGTCATGGCTAGCTGTTGTCTTCTTAACTTTAACGGCATCTCTCCCAACTCTACCTACATCACTGCCACAGGGGAGGTCCTGAGTGCTCCACAACATATATTTAGGACTTGGGCCTGGATTACATCTAGCTTTTGTAAAGATATCTGAGCTGCTGATCCATATGCTACACTTCCATAATCCAGTGATGACTTTAACAGCGCTATATATAGCATTTTCAACGGCATGCTATCTGCCCCCCACTCCATTCCTGACAAGCAACGCATCACATTCAATATTTTCTTTCCTTTGGCAACTATTTCTCCCTCCCACAGTGCCCCATCATCCGCAAACAATGACCTCCCAATATCAGGTCTCACCTGAGAGAATACATCATCAATCATAATGGATAACCACAAAGGACTAATGACACTTCCCTGGGGGGTACCATTATCTACCTCATAGCTTTCTGACATAGAGCTCCCCACCCTCATGACACTTCCCTGGGGGGTACCATTATCTACCTCATAGCTTTATGACATAGAGCTCCCCACCCTCATGACACTTCCCTGGGGGGTACCATTATCTACCTCATAGCTTTCTGACATAGAGCTCCCCACCCTCATGACACTTCCCTGGGGGGTACCATTATCTACCTCATAGCTTTCTGACATAGAGCTCCCCACCCTCACTTGTATTGATCGCCCAAAAATGTAATCCTTTCTCCAGTTATAAGCCCTTCCTCCAACCCCCATGATATCCAGCTTGATAAGTAGGCCTTCCTTCCACATCATATCATAGGCCTTCTCTACATCAAAGAAAACGGCTACCACCAACTCCTTATTTGCCTGTGTCTTCCATATGACTGACTCAAGGCACAGTACAGGATCCATCGTTCCCCTGCCTTTCCTGAACCCACTTTGATCTGGTGACATTAGTCCTCTACTCTCCAGAAAGTAAGTCAGCCTTTCCGTTGTCATCCTTTCCATAAGTTTACATACATCAGATGTCAACGCTATCGGCCTATAGCTTGAAGGACTAGTAGGGTTTTTCCCTGGTTTCTGTATCGGCACCACTACAGCCTGCTTCTAACTTCCAGGCAGTTTCCCTTCCTGCCACACCTTATTGTAAAGGCCCAAGACTTTCCCCATTGCAGTGTCACTGAGATGAGCCATCATGCTGTAACACATCTCATCCTTCCCAGGAGATGTTACCCCAGCTTTAGCTAATGCCCTCTTCATCTCAGCCAACGTAAAAGGGGCATTGAATGCACCCCCCCCGGATGTTCTCTTCTGTCCCTCTCTCTCCCATGCTGGCCCTCTTCTGTCAGATTATTTGAGCAAATGCTTGGGCTAACTTACCTGCCTTCTCCATATCTCTCACTGCGACAATCCTACCACTTTTCAGCACAGGGAGATCCCAATCTCGTCTGACCCCACTCATCTTCTTAATCATCCCACATACCTGTTTCCACAGAACCAGCGGCAATACTCCCTCTTAGCTGTCTTAATGATTCCCATAGGAATCACCTGCCTTGCTCCTTCTCCCCCCTGTACCCAAAGGAATCACCTGCCTTGCTCCTTCTCCCCCCTGTTCCCATAGGAATCACCTGCCTTGCTCCTTCTCCCCCCTGTACCCATAGGAATCACCTGCCTTGCGGCTCCTACTATTGCTCCTCTTACTCCATAATTGACTGTTTCTATATCTGAACTGAGATCAACCTGAGACAGCTCCTATTCACTCAACTCCTGAAACTGACCCCACTCGGCTTTCCTAAACATCCATCTCCTCAATCCATTTCCTACTGAATTTTCCACCCTCAACCCTACAGTACACATGACAGGGTAGTGATCACTAGAGGGGGAAGTAGTGCGACGACAACTATTTAAGGGGTCAGCCGCAGCCTCAGCACTACCCGGTACACAGGACTAATCGGAATATATCCTGCCACTCAGAAGGATACCATATCATATTGGAGTGATCCAATATAGTGCTAAATCACAATAACACACCTATCTGTAACATCAACAGCCCACGAATACAGTGGGTAACATCTTCCTGGAACTCTATCGTTTTCTCAATAGTCCTTGCCTGGTGATAGATCAGACTTTCACACTCGGATTTAAAAGAGGCTACAACAGCCCCAAATATCTCCTCAGCAGCCGCTGTTAATAATGCCTGGTTGAAAAACACTCTCAACATCTAGAATGTAAGCATTTTTGTAGAGAATGCTAGCTAGCTAGCTACCGGTAGTTCGTACTATTTATATAGCCCTGCACAGCGTAGTCAAAATTGCGCACTATTGCCACCTGCTGGAGCGGAGTGCAACGGATTCTACTGCATATTGTGATACCACTTGATTATGGAAGGGAAAGGGGATACCTAGTTAGTTGCACAACTGAATTCATTCAACTGAAATGAGCTGTCTGATGCAAGCATTTGATATCTCTAAAACATTTAAATGATTGAATGCTCTTGTTGTAAAAAGGAGCCCAAAAGGCAAATAGTTCTAACGTTCATCCCACACCCAACTGTAAGTAATGTTCAAACTAATTTCTGTTTGATCGCTGAACTGAAGCATAGTTTGATTTCTCTCTGGCTCATCCTCATTGTGGTTAGAACTATTAAAACAACAAGAACACTGAGTATTCAAGTAATTCGATTTCTCTCAGAGCTGTTGTGGAAGGGAGAGCAGTTTATCGCCTTACCTTTCTGAAGTAAACCTTCATTTCTGTTTCAGAATAGATCTGGTATTGTGTAACAAATGAAAGTAATGATCTCTCTCTCTCTCTCTCTCTCTCTCTCTCTTCTCTCTCTCTCTCTCTCTCTCTCTCTCTCTCTATCTCTCTCTCTCTCTCTCTCTCTCTCTCTCTCTCCTCTCTCTCTCTCTCTCTCTCTCTCTCTCTCTCTCTCTCTCTCTCTCTCTCTCTCTCTCTCTCTCTCTCTCTCTCCCCCTCTCCCCCTCCCTCCCTCCAGGCACACAGAAAATATGTCTGATCATTCTCAACCAGCCTATGGAAAAAGACTACCTTCATACACTCTGGAGTAAAGGTATTCATCGTATAGCTTTTCTATTAATTAGTGTTGGACACCAACATTGATCATTCAATATGATACCAAAATCATTGAGCAAGGTATGATTTTAGTCATTTAGCAGACACTCTTATCCAGAGCGACTTACAGTTAGTGAGTGCATACATTTTCATACTGGCCCCCCGTGGGAAACGAACCCACAACCCTAGCGTTGCAAGCGCCATGCTCTACCAACTGAGCTACAGGGGACTACATATCATGATATCGTTTTTTCTTTCCTCTTAGCTTACACTATTGTGAAATAAAGCATACATGACCCTTGCACAAAACCCCTTTCTCAGACCTTCATGCAGGCTATCAAGTCAACATACTTAATTTCCCTGCTGATGGCCCATCAGAGGTGGATGGGATTCCTTTTGAAATTGAGACTGGTTGGCTTCCAGAACATTCACATCTGGCTGTTTGGCCAATTAGCAGTTGTCTGGACTCCCCAGAGCTTTTGGGGGTGAATACTGAAGTAAACATTTAAACAGTTTCTATTGGTATCTTGATATTTATTGGTATCTTTCCATATCAGTGCTCATCACTACTAATAATCCAATTATGAAATGTATCCTTTATCGTAAAGTTAAGACAGCATTGTTAGGTCTGTACTGATATGGTATTGGCTGTCTCTAAGCCAACCCTCCTCTTGGAGTGCTCCAGGCTGCTGCTCCAGCTCACACCTTTTTGTTGGGGGTATGTTTTGAAGCTGTGCTTGAGAGTGGGAAAGTTCATATAGAAAAGGGCACTGTACATTCTTTATCACACTGTGTTTGCTAGTACACACTTCTCTTGTGACACACACACACACACACACACACATGCTTGTTTAAAACAGAATGTCTCTCTCTCTCTGCTGAATACATTGGTTATATTAAACAAGGTGCTTAGAGAATGCTTCTGTTGCTTTCCCCATGACACAAAACATTAAAAGTGGGAACTGGTGACCGCATATTTTGTTGTTGGGTAAAACTAGAAAGGAGGTTTTTTTCAACTATTGTTACACATGCATTATGTTTGGGAGCAATAGGAAATAAAAGCAAAAAGTTGTTTGCACACAAAACAAATACATAGCAAGATTCATTCACCTCTTTCAGCTAAGCAAGGTCTCTCTCTGTAGCTCTCCTGCGGGCGTGTGCAGATGGTGCAGCCAACCACCTGTATGACATCACCGCTGGACAACGAGACAGGTACAAGTAGCCACTGTGTGTGTGTGTGTTTGAATAATTGTGTCCTTCCTAAAGGACAGATACATTAACTCAGGGGTTCTCAAACTTTTTGGGTCTGGGGACCCCTTTTGTGATAGCAAATGCATCAGGGACCCCATCATAATCAGAACGCAACTCGAGGGATATAAAAATAGCATACAAGGATTACTTTGACAGTGCATGACCGGACAAACCAAGTCTCGGGCCCTGGGAAGGAATATTTTAAAGGGCACCAGAGAGAACATTTTGCAGTTTTCAAGCTAAATTCCTGCAATTCTACACATTTTGTCATGAAGCAGAGAGTTTTTTTGTTCTTGCAACTTTAAAGCTCATATCTTGCAATTCTACACAGTGTTCCATTAGCCAGAGAGAAAATGTTGCAGTTTTAAAGCTTAAACAGTGCATTTATGTAAAAAACAAACAAAAAAACATTTTGAGTAGAAAAATGTATAATTGAAATGGATACCAAAATCCCTGTGAGCCTCCCAGGCCCATGCTGCCCAGGGTTAAGAACATACAGTGCATTCGGAAAGTATTCAGACCCCTTGACCTTTTCCACATTTTGTTACGTTACAGCCTTATTCTAAAATTGATTAAATTGCTTTTTTCCCCTCATCAATCTACACACAATACCCCTCAATGACAAAGAAAAAACTGGTTTTTAGAAATGTTTGCAAATTTATAAAAAATAAAAAACATATAAATAAAAAAAGTATACAATAGCATTCATCAAGGATCTCTCTGTCCTTTGCTCCGTTCATCTTTCCCTCGATCCTGACTAGTCTCCCAGTCCCTGCCGCTGAAAAACATGATGCTGCCACCACCATGCTTCACCGTAGGAATGGTGCCAGGTTTCCAAATCATGTCCAATCAATTTAATTTACCACAGGTGGACTCCAATCAAGTTGTAGAAACATCTCAAGGATGATCAATGGAAACAAGATTCACCTGAGCTCAATTTCGAGTCTCATAGCAAAGGGTCTGAATACTTATGTAAATATGGTATTTCCAGGGTTTTTTTGTGTATACATTTGCCAAAATTTCATAAAACCTGTTTTCACTTTGTCATTATGGGGTATTGTGTGTATATTGATGAGGGGGAAAAATAATTTCATAAATTTTAGAATAAGGCTGTAACTTAACAAAATGTGTAAAAAGTCAAGGGGTCTGAATACTTTCCAAATGCACTGTATAAATAGTGTATTTTGAGGTCTGGCCCCCTGCAGTACTTCCGCGGCCACCCAATTTTCCCAAACGGACACTTTCCCAATTCCTCTTTCTCTCTTTCTTTTTCTTGTTCTCTCATCTAGTTTTCTTCCAGACTACATCAGTGGGGACTTTGATTCTGTTACTGCAGAGGTCAAAGCTTTCTACACAGAGAAGGTGACAAACACACACACACACAGTGTACGATTGTGTTCAGAGCCCAGGGTACATAAGTGTTTACTGTTTGAAATGGAGATGACACTCTGAGTGGTTGAGAGAAGAGGAGTAGGTACCCAGCCATGATGACTCGGCCATGATGAGTCATGTAAATAGCAACGTTCTCTGTCCTCTAGGAGAATGAGCTAGTTTAACACTGATAAGCCATTATTCCCTGTATGCATTACATTATGGTAATGATATTAGAGGTACATCGCTCTGGTCCTTTAGACCCACAGTACTCTGCTCCTTCTAATCAGAGACTGACTTAGACCTGGACAACTGGCCAATCACGATGTAGAGAAAAGAAAACCAACAAAAACACATCTACCTGCATTGTGTTATGGTAATGTTAGAGAGAATAGGGTTGGATTTATTCCAATATTACTCAGAGAATCAAAAGCTATGGTAATGTTGGAGAGAATAGGGTTGGATTTATTCCAATATTACTCAGAGAATCAAAAGCTATGGTAATGTTAGAGAGAATAGGGTTGGATTTATTATAATATTACTCAGAGAGAATCACAAGCTATGGTAATGTTAGAGAGAATAGAGTTGGATTTATTCCAATATTACTCAGGGAGAATCACAAGCTATGGTAATGTTAGAGAGAATATGGTTGGATTTATTCTAATATTACTCAGAGAGAATCTCAAGCTATGGTAATGTTAGAGAGAATATGGTTGGATTTATTCTAATATTACTCAGAGAGAATCTCAAGCTATGGTAATGTTAGAGAGAATATGGTTGGATTTATTATAATATTACTCAGAGAGAATCTGAAGCTATGGTAATGTTAGAGAGAATAGTGCAAGACATCTAGGGACTTCAAGGTGTTTCAAGAGATGTGCATAACTCTACATAAATGAAAGAGAGAGCAGGGAGAGACAGGAGGGAAGGAGGGAGAGAGGGATAAAAATATTCTTCAGGGGATGGAGGGTGCATAAGACGGAGCGGGGTGGTGAAAGAGTGTGTGAGCTGACATGAATAGAACAAAGGCTGTGTGATTCCTGCTGCGAGCAGGAACTCACCTGGAACTAACTATCGTTTAGGGGCATTCACTGGAACGTTGTGTGTGTGTGGGGGTACGCTGAGTTTGAGAGAGCTCAGAGACTTTCTGCTCTTTTGCCTGCCTCTCTCTGTATATCTGTCTGTGTCACCTCCCCCGCCCCCCTCCTCTCTCTTTCTCTCTAGAAGTGTCAGTTGATAGAAACCGCTGATCAGGAGCTGACTGACTTCACTAAATGTCTGGCCATCATGGTGGAAGAGATCAAGAGACAACAGCTTCAGGTAATCCTCCATGTCCTCCTCTTCTGTCCTCCCCCTCTGTCCTCCTTTCTTTCCTCCCCCTCTGTCCTCCCCCTCTTCCTCCTCTCTGTCCCCCCCCCTGTCCTCCTCTCTTTCCTCCCCCTCTGTCCTCCTCTCTTTCCTCCCCCTCTGTCCTCCTCTCTTTCCTCCCCCTCTGTCCTCCCCCTCTGTCCTCCTCTCTTTCCTCCCCCTCTGTCCTCCTCTCTTTCCGCCCCCTCTGTCCTCTTCCTCTGTCCTCCTCTCTTCCCCCCCCTCTGTCCTCCTCTCTTTCCTCCCCCTCTGTCCTCCTCTCTTTCCGCCCCCTCTGTCCTCCCCTCTGTCCTCCTCTCTTCCCCCACCCCCTCTGTCCTCCTCTCTTTCCTCCCCTCTGTCCTCCCCTCTCTCCTCCTCTTCTTCCTCCCCCTCTCTCCTCCTCTCTTTCCTCCCCCTCTGTCCTCCTCTCTTTCCTCCACCTCTGTCCTCCTCTCTTGCCTCCCCCTCTGTCCTCCTCTCTTTCCTCCCCCTCTGTCTCCTCTCTTTCCCTCCCCTTGTCCTCCTCTCTTCCTCCCCCTCTGTCCTCCTCTCTTTCCTCCCCTCTGTCCTCCTCTCTTTCCTCCCCCTCTGTCCTCCCCCCTCTTCCTCCTCTCTGTCCTCCCCGCTGTCAGGTTATTTACAACTTTCTGTTGCTCACCACACATCTCACCTGTCAGAGAGGGTGTGTGTGTGTGTGTGTGTGTGTGTTTGTGTTTGTCTCTCAACTGTCAGAGAGGATGTGTGTTTGCCTGGGTGTTATTCACCCCAAGTCCCTCACTGCACACATGGACCCTTCACTCTTATTGCACATGTATATATATACACACACACACACACACACACACACACACACACACACACACACACACACACACACATCTCTGATTAACTGTCACTCAGTCAGTTAACCAGTGTCCTCAAACAGTCTGTCTAGACAATCTCTCCCTCCCATCCCGGAGGACCTGAGTCCTAGGACCATGCCTCAAGACTACATGCCCTGATGACTCCTTGCTGTCCCCAGTCCACCTGGTCGTGCTGCTGCTCCAGTTTCCACTTCTGCCAGCGGCTATGGAACCCTGCCCTGTTCACCGGACTTGCTACCTTGTCCCAGACCTGCTGTTTTCAACTCTCTCTCTACCGCACCTGCTATTTCAACCTCTAAATGCCCTGCTATGAAAAGCCAAGTGACATTTACTCCTGATGTACTGACCTGTTGCAACCTCTACAACCACTGTGATTATTATTTGACCCTGCAGGTCATCTATGAACGTTTGAACATCTTGGAGAAAAATCAGGCCTTAATGGCCATGTACTGTTATAATCTCCACCCAGCACAGCCAGAAGGGGACTGGCCACCCCTCAGGGAGTTTTTCCTAGCCACCGTGCTTCTACATCTGCATTGCTTGCTGTTTGGGGTTTTAGGCTGGGTTTCTGTATAGCACTTTGTGACATCTGTTGATGTAAAAAGGGCTTTATAAAAAACATTTGATTGATTGATGACAGAATCAGACCATCTATCCTCTAACTCTGAGCTGTGTGCTAAAACAACCATTTTAACCTTCTGTTTGTTCTTCTCTTGAGTAATATCTAACCTCCATATCCCTAAGGTATACAAATAACCTGTAGCAGTGTTGAAAGTCTATGAGTATGAAAAAGACAGACAGTATAGTGAGTAACTACGATGTACTGTAACAGTCCACGTCTGGCGTGTTTCCAGCCAGCCAGATTTATGGGAATTGACTAATTGATGGATCCTCTTTAGATTTATTGACAGTCATCATCAAATTATCACATAACATTTTCAATACCGGAATATCATCAGCAACATAATTATTATTTTGATTATGTTGTCTCTCAATAATAAGAGAACAGGGGCTGTCTGCAGATTTGTGGGTGCTAAAGTAGAAAGTGCTGCGTAACGGTATTTCAGTAGCCTGTTCCCAGATCTGTACTTCAATCACAGGAGGTTGGTGACACCTTAATTGGGGAGGATGTGCTTGTGGTAATGGCTGGAGCAGCATAGGTGAAATGGTATCAACACATCAATCACATGGTTTCTATGTGTTTGATGCCATTCCACCTACTCCGTTCCAGCCATTATTATGAGCTGTCCTCCCCTCAGCAGCCTCCACTAACTTCAACCATGACAACAATTAGGGCCGGGACGATACCAGTATCGCGATACTCATTAGTATCGTGGCAAGGAAACAAAACACGAAGCAGATTTAACTTCTGTAGGAAAACAGCCCTCATGTTGGAAACAAACATCACATAACCAGGGTCACATTTATTTATTTTCAACGACACAATATTTTACATACAGCAGGTTTTTAAAGGACCAATGGGTTTGGTCTGCTTTGTGCTTTAATTTTTGCCATGGAACAAATATTGCGATACTGGTATCGTCACAGCCCTAACAACAACAGTCAGATGCTGGTATTATCACAATTCTAACAACAACAGTCAGATGCTGGTATTGTCACAGTCCTAACAACAACAGTCAGATACTGGTATCGTCACAGCCTTAACAACAACAGTCAGATACTGGTATTGTCACAGTCCTAACAACAACAGTCAGATACTGGTATTGTCACAGCCCTACCAGCAACAGTCAGATACTGGTATCGTCACAGCCCTAACAACAACAGTCAGATACTGGTAGATACTGGTATCGTCACAGCCCTAACAACAACAGTCAGATACTGGTATTGTCACAGTCCTAACAACAACAGTCAGATACTGGTGTTGTCACAGCGCTACCAGCAACAGTCAGATACTGGTATCGCCACAGCCCTAACGACAACAGTCAGATACTGGTATCGTCACAGCCCTAATGACAACAGTCAGATACTGGTATTGTCACAGCCCTACCAGCAACAGTCAGATACTGGTATCGTCACAGCCCTAATGACAACAGTCAGATACTGGTAGATACTTGTATCATCACAGCCCTAACAACAACATTCAGATACTGGTATCATCACAGCCCTAACAACAACAGTCAGGTACTGGTATCATCACAGCCCTAACGACAACAGTCAGATACTGGTAGATACTGGTATCGTCACAGCCCTAACAACAACAGTCAGATACTGGTATTGTCACTGTCCTACCAGCAACAGTCAGATACTGGTATCGCCACAGCCCTAACGACAACAGTCAGATACTGGTATCGTCACAGCCCTACCAGCAACAGTCAGATACTGGTATCGTCACAGCCCTAACAACAACAGTCAGATACTGGTATCGCCACAGCCCTAATGACAACAGTCAGATACTGGTATCGTCACAGCCCTAACGACAACAGTCAGATACTGGTATCGTCACAGCCCTAATGACAACAGTCAGATTCCGGTATCGTCACAGCCCTAACAACAACAGTCAGATACTTGTATCATCACAGCCCTAAAAACAACAGTCAGATACTGGTATCGCCACAGCCCTAACGACAACAGTCAGTCGTGGTCCTCTGTAGCTCAGCTGGTAGAGCACGGCGCTTGTAACGCCAAGGTAGTGGGTTCGATCCCCGGGACCACCCATACACAAAAATGTATGCACGCACGACTGTAAGTCGCTTTGAATAAAAGCGTCTGCTAAATGGCATATTATTATATTATTATATTAGATACTGGTATCGTCACAGCCCTAATGACAACAGTCAGATACTGGTATCGTCACAGCCCTAACGACAACAGTCAGATAGTGGTATCGTCACAGCCCTAATGACAACAGTCAGATACTGGTATCGTCACAGCCCTAATGACAACAGTCAGATACTGGTATCGTCACAGCCCTAACGACAACAGTCAGATACTGGTATTGTCACAGCCCTAATGACAACAGTCAGATACTGGTATCGTCACAGCCCTAATGACAACAGTCAGATACTGGTATCGTCACAGCCCTAATGACAACAGTCAGATGCTGGTATTGTCACAGCCCTAATGACAACAGTCAGATACTGGTATCGTCACAGCCTTAACGACAACAGTCAGATACTGGTATTGTCACAGCCCTAATGACAACAGTCATACTGGTATCGTCACAGCACTAATGACAACAGTCAGAAACTGGTATCGTCACAGCCCTAACGACAACAGTCATATACTGGTAGATACTTGTATCATCACAGCCCTAACAACAACATTCAGATACTGGTATCATCACAGCCCTAACAACAACAGTCAGGTACTGGTATCATCACAGCCCTAACGACAACAGTCAGATACTGGTAGATACTGGTATCAACACAGCCCTAACAACAACAGTCAGATACTGGTATTGTGACAGACCTAACAACAACAGTCAGATACTGGTATCATCACAGCCCTAATGACAACAGTCAGATACTGGTATCGTCACAGCCCTAACAACAACAGTCAGATGCTGGTATTGTCACAGTCCTAACAACAACAGTCAGATACTTGTATCATCACAGCCCTTAAAACAACAGTCAGATACTGGTATCGCCACAGCCCTAACGACAACAGTCAGATACTGGCATCGTCACAGCCCTAATGACAACAGTCAGATACTGGTATCGTCACAGCCCTAACGACAACAGTCAGATGCTGGTATTGTCACAGCCCTAATGACAACAGTCAGATACTGGTATCGTCACAGCCCTAACGACAACAGTCAGATACTGGTATCGTCACAGCCCTAACAACAACAGTCAGATGCTGGTATTGTCACAGTCCTAACAACAACAGTCAGATACTTGTATCTTCACAGCCCTAAAAACAACAGTCAGATACTGGTATCGCCACAGCCCTAACGACAACAGTCAGATACTGGTATCATCACAGCCCTAACGACAACAGTCAGATACTGGTATCTTCACAGCCCTAATGACAACAGTCAGATACTGGTATTGTCACAGCCCTAATGACAACAGTCAGATACTGGCATCGTCACAGCCCTAATGACAACAGTCAGATACTGGTATCGTCACAGCCCTAACGACAACAGTCAGATACTGGTATCGTCACAGCCCTAACGACAATAGTCATACTGGTATCCTCACAGCACTAACGACAACAGTCAGAAACTGGTATCGTCACAGCCCTAACGACAACAGTCAGATACTGGTAGATACTTGTATCATCACAGCCCTAACAACAACAGTCAGATACTTGTATCTTCACAGCCCTAAAAACAACAGTCAGATACTGGTATCGCCACAGCCCTAACGACAACAGTCAGATACTGGTATCATCACAGCCCTAACGACAACAGTCAGATACTGGTATCGTCACAGCCCTAATGACAACAGTCAGATACTGGTATTGTCACAGCCCTAATGACAACAGTCAGATACTGGCATCGTCACAGCCCTAATGACAACAGTCAGATACTGGTATCGTCACAGCCCTAACGACAACAGTCAGATACTGGTATCGTCACAGCCCTAACGACAATAGTCATACTGGTATCCTCACAGCACTAACGACAACAGTCAGAAACTGGTATCGTCACAGCCCTAACGACAACATTCAGATACTGGTAGATACTTGTATCATCACAGCCCTAACAACAACATTCAGATACTGGTATCATCACAGCCCTAACGACAACAGTCAGATGCTGGTATCGTCACAGCCATAACAACAACAGTCTAATACTGGTATCGTCACAGCCCTAACGACAGCAGTCAGATGGGTTAGCTAAAGCACATACAGATCTGGGACCAGGCTTCTTAGGTAGTTACATAAGTTGAAGTCGGAAGTTTACATACACTTAGGTTGGAGTCATTAAAACTCGTTTTTCAACCACTCCACAAATTTCTTGTTAACAAACTATAGTTTTGGCAGGTCGGTTAGGACATCTACTTTGTGCATGACACAAGTAATTCTTCCAACAATTGTTTACAGACAGATTATTTCACTTATAATTCACTGTATCACAATTCCAGTAGGTCAGAAGTTTACATACACTAAGTTGACTGTGCCTTTAAACAGCTTGGAAAATTCCAGAAAATGATGTCATGGCTTTAGAAGCTTCTGATAGGCTAATTGACATCATTTGAGTCAATTGGAGGTGTATCTGTGGATGTATTTCAAGGCCTACCTTGAACCTCAGTGCCTCTTTGCTTGACATCATGGGAAAATCAAAAGACATCAGCCAAGACCTCAGAAAAAAGATTGTAGACCTCCACAAGTCTGGTTCATCCTTGGGAGCAATTTCCAAATGCCTGAAGGTACCACGTTCATCTGTACAAACAATAGTATGCAAGTATAAACGCCATGGGACCACGCAGCCGTAATACCACTCAGGAAGGAGACGCGTTCTGTCTCCTAGAGATGAACGTACTTTGGTGCGAAAAGTGCAAATCAATCCCAGAACAACAGCAAAGGACCTTGTGAAGATGCTGGAGGAAACAGGTACAAAAGTATCTATAGCCACAGTAAAACGAGTACTATATCGACATAAACTGAAAGGACGCTCAGCAAGGAAGAAGCCTCTGCTCCAAAACCACCATAAAAAAGGCAGACTACGGTTTGCAACTGCACATGGGGACAAAGATCATACTTTTTGGAGAAATGTCCTCTGGTCTGATGAAACAAAAATAGAACTGTTTGGCCATAATGACCATCGTTATGTTTGGAGGAAAAAGGGGGTTGCTTGCAAGCCGAAGAACACCACCCCAACCGTGAAGCACGGGGGTGGCAGCATCATGCTGTGGGGGTGCTTTGCTGCAGGAGGGACTGGTGCACTTCACAAAATAGATGGCATCATGAGGAAGGAAAATTATGTGGATATATTGAAGCAACATTTCAAGACATCAGTCAGGAAGTTAAAGCTTGGTCGCAAATGGGTCTTCCAAATGGACAATGACCCCAAGCATACTTCCAAAGTTGTGGCAAAATGGCTTAAGGACAACAAAGTCAAGGTATTGGAGTGGCCATCACAAAGCCCTGACCTCAAACCTATAAAAAATGTGTGAAAAAGCGTGTGCGAGCAAGGAGGTCTACAAACCTGACTCAGTTATATCAGCTCTGTCAGGAGGAATGGGCCAAAATTCACCCAACTTATTGTGGGAAGATTGTGTAAGGTTACCTGAAACGTTTGACCCAAGTTAAACAATTTAAAGGCAATGCTACCAAATACTAATTGAGTGTATGTAAACTTCTGACCCACTGAGAATGTGATGAAATAAATAAAAGCTTAAATAAATCATTCTCTACTATTATTCTGACATTTCACGTTCTTAAAATAAAGTGGTGATCCTAACTGACCTAAAACAGGGAATTTTTACTAGGATTAAATGTCAGGAATTGTGAAAAACTGAGTTTAAATGTATTTGGCTAAGGTGTATGTAAACTTCCGACTTCAACTGTGTGTTGCATAATATAGGCTATTCCATTGGTTTGTCCTGTTTCCCTTTATGTTGTCTGTCTTGTTCTAGGCTGTGGTTAAAGATGCTGAAGTTGCAAAGTAAAGATTTAACATAATACTTTCTTTCTGTTTTATAATCTCTCTCTGTCTCCAAGGACCGTAGCTCGGCAACGCTTGTTTACAGAACACTGTCATTCAGATGATAAGACAAATTATTTTCGAAAGCAGTTCGGTGTTTATTCATGCGTGGGTGTGTGTGTGCAGTCTAATAAGAGAAAAGTGTTTTTCTAAAGATGTTCTCTGTTGTGTGTGGGTCTTTGACAGATGTGGATTTAACCTCAATAAACACATTTCTAAATCAGTTTATTTGTGGCCAAAGGCATAGAAAGAAGATGTAAATAAAGACTATCACTGTCTCCAAGTCATTATCATATCTTAACTAGGGTCCAAGTGCCGTGGCGTCAGACAGTATGGAAGTGTCTGTGCTTATGGACTGCTATACGGAGTGCAATTCCACTGAGAGCAAATTAACTAGGACACTATGTTTATTTCCTCAATGTAAAATGGTTGCACACCATGAATTCTCCAAACTCTCTGCGACATTGTGTCCTTAGAACACTCTTGGGGAGAAGAAAGAGTGAAAGATAGGGCAGGCGAGACACAGAGGGGGAGAGCTAAACTGAAGAGAGAGACTGGGAAAATAGAGAGAGGAGGAGGGAGTAAAGGAGAGTGTGGGTACAGGGGGAGAGATGGGTATGAGGTCAGAAGAAAAGAGGGAAAGAGAGGGAGAGAGAGAAGTTTGGGTAAATTATAGTTATTACGATGGCTCTCCGGATGTTTGAAGTGAAGAAAAGAACTCAACCTTTCTGTCTGAAGGCTACATGTTTCTCCTTCCTGACTTAAATGGCACACTCACAGTTTGTAAGATGTTCTTAAGTGGTCTGAAGTTGTACCACCTGGTGGAGATGATGACAATTAATCTCTCTCTCCCCCCCCCCCTCCCCAGGTGGATACTATAGTGACTCTGGGGGGTCTGGCAGGAAGGTTTGACCAGACCATGGCTTCAGTAGAGACATTGTACCACGCCCTCAATATGACAGAACTACCTCTGGTGGTTCTACAGGGATGCAGTCTTGCCTACCTGCTTCGACCGGTAACTATACGCACACACGTTTGTTTTCAGTGGAGGAAAAAGTACTTGAATAAAAGTAAAGATACAGTGAGGGAAAAAAGTATTTGATCGCCTGCTGATTTTGTACGTTTGCCCACTGACAAAGAAATGATCAGTCCATAATTTTAATGGTAGGTTTATTTGAACAGTGAGAGACAGAATAACAAGAAAGAAATCCAGAAAAACACGTCAAAAATGAAATAAATTGATTTGCATTTTAATTAGGGAAATAAGTATTTGACCCCCTCTCAATCAGAAAGATTTCTGGCTCCCAGGTGTCTTTTATACAGGTAACGAGCTGAGATTAGGAGCACACTCTTAAAGGGAGTGCTCCTAATCTCAGTTTGTTACCTGTATAAAAGACACCTGTCCACAGAAGCAATCAATCAATCAGATTCCAAACTCTCCACCATGGCCAAGACCAAAGAGCTCTCCAAGGATGTCAGGGACAAGATTGTAGACCTACACAAGGCTGGAATGGGCTACAAGACCATCGCCAAGCAGCTTGGTGAGAAGGTGACAACAGTTGATGAGATTATTCGCAAATGGAAGAAACACAAAATAACTGTCAATCTCCCTCGGCCTGGGGCTCCATGCAAGGTCTCACCTCGTGGAGTTGCAATGATCATGAGAACGGTGAGGAATCAGCCCAGAACTACACAGGAGGATCGTGTCAATGATCTCAAGGCAGCTGGGACCATAATCACCAAGAAAACAATTGGTAACACACTATGCCGTGAAGGACTGAAATCCTGCAGCACCCGCAAGGTCCCCCTGCTCAAGAAAGCACATATACAGGGCCGTCTGAAGTTTGCCAATTAACATCTGAATGATTCAGAGGAGAACTGGGTGAAAGTGGTGTGGTCAGATGAGACCAAAATCGAGCTCTTTGGCATTAACTCAACTCGCCGTGTTTGGAGGAGGAGGAATGCTGCCTATGACCCCAAGAACACCATCCCCACCGTCAAACATGGAGGTGGAAACATTATGCTTTGGGGGTGTTTTTCTGCTATGGGGACAGGACAACTTCACCGCATCAAAGGGACGATGGACGGGGCCATGTACCGTCAAATCTTGGGTGAGAACCTCCTTCCCTCAGCCAGGGCATTGAAAATGGGTCGTGGATGGGTATTCCAGCATGACAATGACCCAAAACACACGGCCAAGGCAACAAAGGAGTGGCTCAAGAAGAAGCACATTAAGGTCCTGGAGTGGCCTAGCTAGTGTCATTTACATTTACATTTACGTCATTTAGCAGACGCTCTTATCCAGAGCGACTTACAAATTGGTGCATTCACCTTATAGCCAGTGGGATAACCACTTTACAAGATTTTTTTTTTTTGGGGGTGGGGTAAGGGGGGGGGGGGGGGGGGGGGGTAGAAGGATTACTTTATTCTATCCCAGGTATTCCTTAAAGAGGTGGGGTTTCAAGTGTCTCCGGAAGGTGGTGAGTGACTCCGCTGTCCTGGCATCGTGAGGGAGCTTGTTCCACCATTAGGGTGCCAGAGCAGCGAATTGTTTTGACTGGGCTGAGCGGGAACTGTGCTTCCGCAGAGGTAGGGGGGCCAGCAGGCCAGAGGTGGATGAACGCAATGCCCTCGTTTGGGTGTAGGGACTGATCAGAGCCTGAAGGTATGGAGGTGCCGTTCCCCTCACAGCTCCGTAGGCAAGCACCATGGTCTTGTAGCAGATGCGAGCTTCAACTGGAAGCCAGTGGAGTGTGCGGAGGAGCGGGGTGACATGAGAGAACTTGGTTGAACACCAGACGGGCTGCGGCATTCTGGATGAGTTGTAGGGGTTTAATGGCACAGGCAGGGAGCCCAGCCAACAGCGAGTTGCAGTAATCCAGACGGGAGATGACAAGTGCCTGGATTAGGACCTGTGCCGCTTCCTGTGTAAGGCAGGGTCGTACTCTCCGAATGTTGTAGAGCATGAACCTACAGGATCGGGTCACCGCCTTGATGTTAGCGGAGAACGACAGGGTGTTGTCCAGGGTCACGCCAAGGCTCTTTGCACTCTGGGAGGAGGACACAACGGAGTTGTCAACCGTGATGGCGAGATCATGGAACGGGCAGTCCTTCCCCGGGAGGAAGAGCAGCTCTGTCTTGCTGAGGTTCAGCTTGAGGTGGTGATCCGTCATCCACACTGATATGTCTGCCAGACATGCAGAGATGCGATTCGCCACCTGGTTATCAGAAGGGGGAAAGGAGAAGATTAGTTGTGTGTCGTCTGCGTAGCAATGATAGGAGAGGCCATGTGAGGATATGACAGAGCCAATTGACTTGGTGTATAGCGAGAATAGGAGAGGGCCTAGAACTGAGCCCTGGGGGACACCAGTGGTGAGAGCACGTGGTGCGGAGACAGATTCTCGCCACGCCACTTAGTAGGAGTGACCTGTCAGGTAGGACGCAATCCAAGAGTGAGCCGCGCCGGAGATGCCCAACTTGGAGAGGGTGGAGAGGAGGATCTGATGGTTCACAGTATCAAAGGCAGCAGACAGGTCTAGAAGGACAAGAGCAGAGGAGAGAGAGTTAGCTTTAGCAGTGCGGAGAGCCTCCGTGACACAGAGAAGAGCAGTCTCAGTTGAATGACCAGTCTTGAAACCTGACTGGTTTGGATCAAGAAGGTCATTCTGAGAGAGATAGCAAGAGAGTTGGCTAAAGACGGCGCGCTCAAGAGTTTTGGAGAGAAAAGAAAGAAGGGATACTGGTCTGTAGCTGTTGACATCGGAGGGATCGAGTGTAGGTTTTTTGAGAAGGGGTGCAACTCTCGCTCTCTTGAAGACGGAAGGGACATAGCCAGCGGTCATGGATGAGTTGATGAGCGAGGTGAGGTAAGGGAGAAGGTCTCCGGAAATGGTCTGGAGAAGAGAGGAGGGGATAGTGTCAAGCGGGCAGGTTGTTGGGCGGCCGGCCGTCACAAGTCGCAAGATTTCATCTGGAGAGAGAGGGGAGAAAGAAGTCAAAGCATAGGGTAGGGCAGTGTGAGCAGGACCAGCGGTGTCATTTGACTTAACAAACGAGGATCAGATGTCGTCAACATTCTTTTCAAAATTGTTGACGAAGTCATCCACAGAGAGGGAGGAGGGGGGGAGGGGGAGGAGGATTCAGCAGGGAGGAGAAGGTGGCAAAGAGCTTCCAATGGTTAGAGGCAGATGCTTGGAATTTAGAGTGGTAGAAAGTGGCTTTAGCAGCAGAAACAGAGGAAGAAAATGTAGAGAGGAGGGAGTGAAAAGATGCCGGGTCCGCAGGGAGTCTAGTTTTCCTCCATTTCCGCTCGGCTGCCCGGAGCCCTGTTCTGTGAGCTCGCAATGAGTCGTCAAGCCACGGAGCAGGAGGGGAGGACCGAGCCGGCCGGGAGGATAGGGGACATAGAGAGTCAAAGGATGGAGAAAGGGAGGAGAGGAAGGTTGAGGAGGCAGAATCAGGAGATTGGAGGGAGAAGGATTGAGCAGAGGGAAGATATGATAGGATGGAAGAGGAGAGAGTAGCGGGAGAGAGAGAGAGCGAAGGTTGCGACGGCGCATTACCATCTGAGTAGAGGCAGAGTGAGTAGTGTTGGAGGAGAGCGAGAGAGAAAAGGATACAAAGTAGTGGTCGGAGACATGGAGGGGAGTTGCAGTGAGATTAGTAGAAGAACAGCATCTAGTAAAGATGAGGTCAAGCGTATTGCCTGCCTTGTGAGTAGGGGGGGGGGGGTGAGGTCAAAAGAGGAGAGGAGTGGAAAGAAGGAGTCAGAGAGAAATGAGTCAAAGGCAGACGTAGGGAGGTTAAAGTCACCCAGAACTGTGAGGGGTGAGCCATCCTCAGGAAAGGAACTTATCAAGGCGTCAAGCTCATTGATGAACTCTCCAAGGGAACCTGGAGGGCGATAAATGATAAGGATGTTAAGCTTGAATGGGCTAGTGACTGTGACAGCATGGAATTCAAATGAGGAGATAGACAGATGGGTCAGGGGAAAAAGAGAGAATGTCAACTTGGGAGAGAGGATTCCTGTGCCACCACCCCGCTGACCAGATGCTCTCGGGGTATTGGAGAACACATGGTCAGACGAGGAGAGAGCAGTAGGAGTAGCAGTGTTTTTAGTGTAATCCATGTTTCCTTCAGCGCCAAGAAGTTGAGGGACTGGAGGGTAGCATAGGCTGAGATGAACTCTGCCTTGTTGGCCGCAGAACGGCAGATCCAGAGGCTGCCAGAGACCTGGAACTCCACGTGGGTCGTGCGTGCAGGGACCACCAGGTTAGAGAGGCAGCAGCCACGCGGTGTGAGGCGTTTGTATAGCCTGTGCGGAGAGGAGAGAACAAGGATAGACAGACGCATAGTTGACAGGCTACAGAAAATGGCTACAATAATGCAAAGGAGATCGGAATGAAATGAACTAAACATCTGGGAAAGCAAGAGAGCGGGGCCTCCCTCACTTACGTTTCACTGAAACACCCAAATATAACTCTCCCAACTTCCACCTCAGAAACTATAATTGTTGTAAACTACAGCGGTTCAATGTTTTCTAGGAATAGACTAACTTAGTTTATTCAGCTAGCTAACTTGGTACAGTATTCTTCCGTGAAAACCGTCCAGGGCACCTAGTCCTATGACACCATAGCCAACTAGCATGCCAGCCTCCAACAACACGGTTTAGCACCAATACTCGGCCACAACAAACCACCAGTGTGTCAACACGCCAAGCAGATCATTCGTGTCCGTGTCTAACATTGTGGGTTAGTCCCAACAGCTTGAGAGAGTCCGTCGTCAACTTATTCAGCCAGTTAGTTAGCTAGAATAGTTAGCATACTAGCTAGCCATTGCTTTCTGCCAACGAAAAAAACCCTCCTCCCATGGCACGAACACACAGAGAGAGCCAAGCTAACGTTAACTAGTCACCCATGTCCCGAATTCCCTTGAACGACTCTGGTTACCAGTATGTAAAAACAAAACACAAATGTAGGTTATAACTTACCCCTAGCAGCTACTGTTAGCTAGCCAAGTGCAAAGCTAGCCACTGAATCGACTCAGCCAGTTCGCGTCTGTTCGCTAGGTCGTTCCAACTATTGTTTAGTAGCTATCCAGGTAGCAACAAGCTAGCTACATTTCGAGCACAGTAGCTACTAACTACCTAACGTTAACGCTTCAGACAATGAGGTTAGAAAAACAGCTGAATGGTAGGCAGCTAGCTGGCGTAATTACAGGTACTCTTAAGCGTGAAACAACTATCCCACAGTTGCTAATAGTTACCAGTAGCTACCCGCTAGCTAGTCCAGGTAGTGGGTTAGCTAGCCTCGTGCTTCACCGGGCTCAGCCGAATACAATACTTACCTACAATGATTACATACAATAACCTACGATAAATACAATAACCTACGATAACTACCTACAATACCTAACTACAATCTAAATACATAGTTTAAGCTTTACTCAACACCATATAAGCCATATAAGCCAAGCTTACCTCCCGCCAGAGAGAGACACAACCTTACCTGACGACTTAACATATATCCATTCTATCCATATTTGGATAGAACTCAACTGACCCCTGTGGCTAAGGTCTCCAGACCTTAATCCCATAGAAAATCTGTGGAGGGAGCTGAAGGTTCGAGTTGCCAAACGTCAGCCTCAAAACCTTAATGACTTGGAGAAGATCTGCAACGAGGAGTGGAACAAAATCCCTCCTGAGATGTGTGCAAACCTGGTGGCCAACTACAAGAAACGTCTGACCTCTGTGATTGCCAACAAGGGTTTTGCCACCAAGTACTAAGTCATGTTTTGCAGAGGGGTCAAATACTTATTTCCCTCATTAAAATGCAAATCAATTTATAACATTTTTGACATGCGTTTTTCTGGATTTATTTGTTGTTATTCTGTCTCTCACTGTTCAAATAAACCTACCATTAAAATTATAGACTGATCATGTCTTTGTCAGTGGGCAAACGTACAAAATCAGCAGGGGATCAAATACTTTTTTCCCTCACTGTACCTTAATAGAAAATGACTCAAGTAAAAGTGAAAGTCACCCAGTAAAATACTACTTGAGTAAAAGTCTAAAAGTATTTGCTTTAAAATATACTTAAGTATCAAAAGTAAAAGTATAAATCATTTCAAATTTCTTATATTAAGCAAACCAGTTGGCAAGATTTTATTTTGTATTATATTTACGGATAGCCGGGGCACACTCCAACACAAACCCAGCATTTGTGTTTAGTGAGTACGCCAGATCAGAGACAGTATGACCAGGGATGTTGTCTTGATAAGTGTGTGAATTGGACCATTTTCCTGTCCTGCTAAGCATTCAAAATGTAACGAGTACTTTTGGGTGTCAGGGAAAATGTATGGAGTAAAAAGTACATTATTTTCTTTAGGAATGTAGTGAAGTAAAAGATGTAAGAAATATAAATAGTAAAGTAAATTACACATACCTCCAAAAATTACTTAAGTAGTACTTTCAAGTATTTTTACTTAAGTACTTTACACCACTGTTTGTTTTACTATACTTGTCAGGACACACACACAGTCAAGAGACTACAAAACATTTTAGTTACAAATATTAGTATAAGGGTCCTTGACAAGGTTGTGTTGACCTTTGTGTTAAACCACGTACGTTCAGTCAGTTCATTACATCAGGACTGCAGTGACAAACCAGCTTGATTAAGTGTGTGTGTGTGTGCGTGCGCGTCTCTCAGAGGAGTTCGATTAATTGGAGGTATGTAGGAATGAAGCAGCAAATGACAACATGTCTTTAATAATGACAAACAACAAAGAGAGAGAGAGAGACAGGGGAAGAGGAGAGAAATATTGAGAGGGGAGAGAGAGGGGAGAGAGAGAGGGGAGAGACATGGAAGAGGAGAGAAAGATGAGGAGGGAAAGAGAGAGAGAGGGGAGAGAGAGAGAGGTGGTCCTCTGTAGCTCAGCTGGTAGAGCACGGCGCTTGTAACGCCAAGGTAGTGGGTTCGATCCCCGGGACCACCCATACACAAAAAAAATGTATGCACGCATGACTGTAAGTCGCTTTGGATAACAGTGTCTGCTAAATGGCATATTATATTATTATTATTATAGAGAGAGAGGGGAGAGACAGGGAAGAGGAGATAAAGATGAGGAGGGAGAGAGAGGGGAGGGGGAGAGGAGAGAAAGATGCAGAGGGGAGGGATAGTGAGAGGGAGAGAGAGAGAAGGGGAAGAGGAGAGAAAGATGGAGAGGGGAGGGAAAGAGATGTGTGGGTGAGTGTGTGTATCTGCATGCGTGCATGTCTGTGCATGCGCGCGTTCTACAAATGAGATTGCAGGTATTTGGTTAGAAAATACTGTATATGCTTGTTTACAATGACCTTTTAGTAGGGCATGTCAGGAGCGGAGGTGATTTACATGATGGAGGATTGTACTGTGGTGAACTCCAGCTGCTGTAGGGATGAACATGGACGGATACAGACAGACCCAGTAGACGGATGACTTTGACATTCTAAGTTTTATAGAACAATATAATGGAATGAAGAATACAGATACTCTAGATGTCCTTGACAAAAATAACTGCAACATTTCAAGGCACTTAATCCAAATTGAGTTTTGAAAACTCCAGCTTTCATAAAGGCTTTTCAGAATAAAGGTTTTTCAATTAAATCCCATCATGAGATTGTGCATAATAGAGTTGCTTATGTGCATTGCTGTGAGGCTAAGGTCTGTCTCTTTCTCTATCTATCTCTCTCTACCTTTTTCTGTCCCTCCATCTCTCATTAAAGTATGTGTGGGCTGAGTCTCAGGTGGGAGAAAGTTGTATTAGGGATGATTCTACATCTCAGAGGCGTTCTATGATCACTGGTATTTATAAACCAAACAACATAAAGCTGCTTAGAACACACGCACACACACACCCCGAGGCGAGATTAACACAACAGCAAGAGCTGGAGATTATTCTGTCTCTGAGTTTCCTTCCTTCAGGAGTTGAGAACTTTCCCTCTATCCCTCTCTTTCTCCCTCTGGCTGCTGTCTTTCCACCGCAAAGGAGGAAAGAGATCCGCCATTTTAGCTATCATCATTTCAGAAAGAGTTGTTCAGCTTCAAACTTTTCTCTTTGGGGCCTTTGCTAACTTTCCTTGAGTGCACTGACTACACACACTGTCATGTTGAACGGTAGTCACTTTGTGGTTTTGAGGTATTTGTCGCTAGCAGGTCTTATCATGTGACATCACATCCAAAATTATTGGCACCCCTGATAAAGATGAGCAAAAAAGACTATAAAATAAATATATACAAATACTGAGCTATATTTTATGCTAAAATAAATGGGGAAATTATATTATTTTAGACTAATAAAATTGCTCTGAGAAAAATATTTTGTTTAACAATTAATACAAATAAATACAAATAAGATACGTGTCAAAATGATTGGCACCCCTGTTTTCAATCCATTGTGCACCCTCCCCTTGCGAGGATAACAGAACATAGCCTTTTTCTATAATGTTTTATGAGATTGAATTACACATTGGGAGGTATCTTAGACCATTCCTCCATACATAATCTTTCCGGAATCTTGATATCCTTCGGTCTGCGCTTATGGACTGCCTTCTTTAATTCAAACCACAGGTTTTCAATGGGGTTCAAGTCCAGAGACGGAGATGGCCATTGCAAAATGTTGATTTTGGGTCAATTAACCATTTCTTTGTGGATTTTGATGTGTGCCTTGGGTCATTGTCTTGCTGAAAGATCCAATCCACTTGGGGCCAAGTTTCAGCCTCCTGGCAGAGGCAACCAGGTTTTTGATTAAAATGTCCTGATACTTGGTAGAGTTCATGATGCTGTTGATCTTAAGCAGGGGGCCCAATGACCAGTGGAAGCAAAACAGCCCCATAACATCAAAGATCCACCACCATATTTTACAGTAGGTATGAGGTTATTTTCTGCATAAGCATCCTTCTTTCGAGGCCAAACCCACCACTGGTTTGCGTGGCCAAAGAGCTCTATTTACGTCTCATCTGACCATAGCACCTGGTTCCAATCCAAGTGCCAATGCCGTTTAGCAAACTCCAGGCATTTACATTTGTTAGTTGCTCTCAATAAAGGCTTTTTTTTATGGCAACCCTTCCTAATAGCCTGTTGGCATGGAGGTGGCGTCTAGCATGGAGGTGGTAGTTTCCAGTAATATACCCTCTCTTTGCAACCCTACGGATGACAAATGGATTTTACATGCGTGTTACCTAATTTTTATACCCAAGTGAAACAGGAAGCCATGAAAGGCCACAATTCAGTTCCTTCAACTGAGATTAATTTTTAAAAGTTGAAAGTGAATTCAGATTGTTGTTTGATTTTATATATAATATTTGTTAGGGGTGCCAATCATTTTGATGTCTATCTTTTTAAGATTGTGTTTTACTTGTTAAACAAAATCTGTTTCTCTGAGCAATTGTATTAGTATAAAATAATATAATATCTTTGAGCATATAATATAGCTCAGTATTTGTATTATTTATGTTAGTCTTTTTTGCTCATTTTTATCAAGGGAGCTAATCATTTCAGATGTGACTGTAGATGGAAATTGTCAGCACTACAACAGTATTAGATCCAGAGTTATTCTGGAAGCTCATTCTGTGTGTGTGTGTGGGTGTGTGTGTATGTGTGTTAATGCGTCATTTCTCCTCCCTAGTGTGTGTTCTGACAGTAAAGTGCTAATTGTAATTATCAGGTTTTAATTGTGATTTTTTAACTGAACATTACAAATGTGAGATTCTGACGAAGGCTGGTAAAGAGCACCGTGTGTATGTGTGTGTGTGTGTGTGTCAAACAGAAGTCAAACTTTACGGTAAACAGGAAAGAAACACTTCTGGTTTGTAGTTAGTTTTGTATGTTTTTTGTCGTTGCTGCTGATAGCGGTCTCCCTTTTCTCTCTGTGTGTCTGTGTTTGTGTGTGTTTTAGGGCAGGAGACACAGGTTGGGAGTGAATACAGGACTGGAGGGAAAATGGTGCAGTCTAATACCTATAGGAGGACCATGCAGAACACACACCACTGGACTCAAATGGAACCTGGGTGAGCACACAGACACACACAGACAGACAAACACAGACAGACACACACACAGACACACACACACACACACACACACACACACACACACACACACACACACACACAGAGACACAAAGACACACACGAGCACTCCTCTTTCCCTGCTCTTTGTTTGCACAATCACACACACCCTGTCTGTCCCCCTGTGGTTTGTCCCAGTCCTAGGCCCAGTGGCCAGCTGTGTTCTTAATGAGTTGGCTCAGACCACTGCACCACCGGTACAGGGCGGGACCTCAACAATCTGTTGGTTGTATAACTCAGTGTCAAGGGGAATCCAGGCAGGAGGTGTGTGTGTGTGTGTCTGTGTCTGTGTCTGTGTGTCTGTGTGCAGGTGCGTGCGTGCGCTTGTTGGCTCCTGGCCTGTGAATGTGTGTGTGTTACTTCCCAGTCAACCTGTTACCTCAGCACCTGATTGATAATGAGGTGGGATTATGCGTGAGAGGCTCCTTCAGATTAACCAGTCATACTAAAATGTATAATTAATCACACACATAATTAAAAAGGAGGCAGTGGAATATTTCCCCCGGGATCGGATGGATGAAGGTAGAAAATAAGAAATATACACTTTTACAAAGTGGACCCTCAGCTCTTGTGTGCGTTTGATCAAGTAACTTGGTTACAGTGTTTAAAGCAATCTGCAGTTGCTACATACCTTTTTTAATTAATGAAATGATTCTTGAAGAATATAACTCATAAATGCCTCATGAGCTTAGTTCAACTGTCTTACCCCATCAGAACCCAAAATATAACCTTGTTTTACTCCAATGTTTGTAAACAAAAGTAAATGTAAACAAACACTATATAGCCTCAACTTGGTTAAAAATATAATTGTTATATTGTTCTGGCCCCTGTTGTTGGTTCGAGTTCATTTTAAGGTCAATTTAATTGTTGTCCACTAGATGGCGCTGTTCACTGATAAGCTCTGTTTGCTTAAGTTTCTATATCCGGTAAAAGAAGAATCCTTGTTAGCATTGCAAATGGTGAAAGTCACTGTGGAGCTGCAGATATTATCAAACTCCATCCTTCTTGCAGTCAATTTGTAGAAGCATTCTCTGTAAGTAAAACAATAATAACATACTTACCTTTCAATTCATGATGATATTTTCTATGGGTGATTGTTTAAGTGCTAGATTTAAGCAGGGGCGCAACTTTCACTGGGGACGGGGGACATGCATTTTTGTCCACCCCCAGTTTTATCATTGGAATGTGATACAAAATGAGGCAACGGTGTGCTTTAGGACCATGTGGATGCCTCCGAGCGGTCGGGTAGGCTGTTTGGAGTGTTTATCCAACTGGATAATTTTTTAAAATAAAGAATATGTCCCCCCCACTTCTAAAACCAAAGTTGCACCCCTGTATTTAAGTATTTTCTTGATAGCTGCATGGTTGGAGATATCTGTTCTATGTAATTAATCTTGCCATGTTTGGGGAATATTTTTTTTTGCAATATAACATACATGCTGTGCAATTAGTGAGAATTAAGCTTAGCATACTCTTACTTATGGTTGTTTTCTTTCTTTCAGTTTTACTCAATTTCTAATACTGTACCTACGAACTGGTGGTAATAAATCATTATTCAAAACTACAGTTGCTGGAAAGAGTTTATTTATCTGCTAAGCTTAAGAAGGGCTCTTTTGCGATAGCAGAATAGTAAGAAGACACTCAACGGTTTTTACAATCTCCAGAGGACAAGATATCCAGTCTGCTCTACTCCTTTTCACATGTCCAATGCAAGATGTCAGCTTCAGAGCATAAGAGCCTTGCAACCAGGTCAGAATGCTCACATTCAGTGTCATCAAGACACTCCAGCAAATCTGCAGCAAGCTTGGCTGCATTAGAGGCTCGCGCCAAGGCTGAAGCAGCACTAGCATAGAGGTGAAAGTGAAGAAGGCCCAGCTTAAAGTGGAGGAGACCAGCATGGAAGCCACATTAGAGACTCTTCAGCAGGAGAAATAGGCTGAGGCCGCCTTAGCTGAGGGTAATGTCTTTGAGACAGCAGTGGATGCAGCTGATATGGCATCGTTATCTGGGGTTGACGACAACAAACAAGGCTCATCATACCATTCTCGCGAGAGGACTGAGAAGTATGTACAAGACCAGCAAGCCTTCGTGAACTACCATCAGCCATCGGCATACAAGGAAGTCTGACAGCCAGACGTCAAGGTTGAATCGCCTCCCCCAGTTGATTACTCACAGTCACACAACCCCTATCCCTCCCACAACAAGCTGGTCCAGAGCTCACGACCACTACTACATCCTCTCTCTCGCACCCCCATTCATACTGATAGCCAGCCACCTAGTGTTGAACGTCATGAGTCCAGTGGGACCCATTCTGATCTTGACAACGTTGCAGAGCTGGCGAAGTTCCTAGCACGCCGCAACCTCCTCACAGCTGGACTCATCAAGTTCAACGACAAGCCATAGAACTACTGGGCTTGGAAGTCAACTTTCTCCAATGCCGTTGTAGGCCTCGACCTAAAGCCCTGCTGTAGCCCTCAGTTTGGTTTGGCAACGGCTAGAGGAGTGCTATAGGTTTGCTGAAGCTATGGAGATAGCCCACTTCAACCAGCTTGAATGCTTCCCAAAGATCTCCAATAAAGACCAACAATGTCTGAGAGAGCTAGGTGACCTTCTCCTCGAGTTGGAGGCAGCCAAAGCTGAAGGTTACTTACCCGGCCTGTCCTACCTGGACACTGCAAGGGGCATCAGCCCTATTCTGGAGAAGCTCCCCTTCAGCCTGTAGGAGAAGTGGATATCACAGGGACCAAATACAAACAGGAGCATGGTGTCAGCTTCCCACCCTTCTTGTTCTTCTCCAGTTTAATCTGTGCGGAATAAAAAATGAGGAATGACCCAAGTTTCAACACTTCCACTTCCAGCATAGCGCCACCTAAAGGAGAGAAATTCTCAATGAGAATGGCGAGAGCCCCTATCACAATGCACAAGACAGAAGTGGACAATGACATCCAGAAAAATTTATCTAAGAAGAAGGATGACCCTAACAAACAATGCCCTATCCACAAAAAGCCACACCCCCTGCGAAAGTGTAGAGGCTTTAGGGAGAAGTCCCTAGAGGAGAGGAAAACCTTCCGTAGAGAGCACACCAGGCGAAGAACTGTAAAGCTGTTATCCATTGCTCTTGGTGCGAAAGCGACAAGCGTATTGCAGCTCTTCACGCCGGTCCTGCCCCTTGGTCTCAGAAAGATGCCTTCAGCTCCTCCACACAGATGAGTCTCCCTCCTCTCTAGTTACCACGTCCACCTTTCCCCACCCTGGGGAAATCTTTCTACAAGATCTGTCTTGTTAATGCCAGAAGGTCATCCTGAGAAGATGAGAACATACGCCATTCTGGACGAACAAATTAACAAGTCTTTGCAAGGTCAGCCTTCTTCAAGATGTTCAACATAGTCAATGACACCTCACCCTACACCCTCAAGATGTGCTCAGGTATCTCGGAGACTGTAGGCCAGAGAGCAAGAGGCTTCATTGTGGAATCAGCTGTTGAAAATACCTGTTTACCTCTTCCCACACTCATCGAGTGCAACGAGCTCCCAGACAATAGGGCAGAAATCCCTTCACCAGATGTTACAAGGTACCACCCTCACCTCAAGTTCTTAGCCACTAAGATACCCCTCTGAACCCTCAGGCCAATATCCTGCTACTTCTAGGGAGAGACATCATCCTGGTGCACAAGGTGCTGGAGTAGCGCAACGGGCCCCTGCACACTCCCTTCGCACAGCACCTAGCCCTCGGCTGGGTGATAGTGGGAGATGTTTGTCTCTGAGGGGCACACAAGCGGACACCAGTTAACACCTTCAAGACAAACATTCTAGAGGAACAGGTTCCCCAACTTCATGTGTCCTTGTCTCAGCAGCTTCCAAGTTAAGGACAACTTCAGCCACACCCGCCAGCCTCAAAGTTACGGCACCCTGTCCCTGGAGCAGAGATGTACACTAGCTAACGCGGCAAGCCTCATCTGTCTTCTGCTGCACTAAGGATGACGACAAACCAGCTCCCTCAATGGAGGATCTCACCTTCCTGAAGACGATGGAGGAACAGTTCCATCAGGATGCTGCAAACAGCTGGATTGCTCCACTCCCGTTCCGTAGCCCACGGCAACGCCTCCCCAATAACTGCAACCAGGTCAGCAATCGCCTCACTCACGCTCAAAAAACGTCCAGAGATGAAGGAACACACTTCATTGAGTTCATGTGCAAAATCTTTGAGAATGGGCACGCTGAAATCGCTGTACCCCTACAAACAGAAGAAGAGTGCTAGTATCTTCCTATCTTCGGGGTGTATCATCTACAAAAACCCGTACAGATAAGAGTGGTATTCGATTCCAGCGCCCAGCACCATGGCGTATCTCTGAATGACGTCCTTTTTACTGGTCCCAACATGAACAACAGCCTGCTCAGGGGACGGCTGTGGTTCAGAAAGGAACCAGTGGTTGTGACAGCAGACGTACAACAGATGTTCCATTGCTTCATGAAGACCATCGGAACTACCTGCGATTTCTCTGGTACCACAACAACGACCTGGATAATGAAGTTGTGGCGTACAGGATGCGGGTCCACGGTTTTAGTAATATCCGTCCCCAGCAGTGGCCGTGTATGGGCTCAGGAGAGCCGCCTTAGAGGGCGAGAGGGATTATGGAGCAGAGACAAGGCACTTCGTCGAGAGCAACTTTTACGTCGACAAAGGTCTCGTATCCTTCCCCACAGAGAAGGAAGCCATCTCTCTTCTCCAGAACAGTCAAGAGATGTTGGCCCTCTCCAACTTATGCCTGCACAAGATCTCCTCTAACAATGCAGAGGTCATGAGAGCCTTTTCTCCAGATGATCTTGTAAGGGGCTGAAGCACCTGGATCTGAGTGTCTCCCTCCCATGCAGAGAAGTCTCGGGGTGTGCTGGGACATCACAGAGGATGTCTTCACATTTCAGGTGTCTTCAGCGGAGAAACCATACACTAGACGTGGAGTCTTGTCGACTATCAACAGCCTGTTCGACTCGCTTGGATTTCCCGGCCCAGTAAGCATTCGAGGAAGGTCTCTACTTAGAGAGCTCTCCATGGAGGCTTGTGACTGGAATGCCCCTCTCCCAGAAGTGAAGTTCAAGGAATGGAAGCAATGGAGAGACTCACTGAAGGCGCTTGAGCAGGTCAACATCTCTCGCACATACACCTCAACCTCTCTCACCGAAGCACACAAGAAAGAGATGTGCGTCTTCTATGATTAATCCACGAACGCCATCGCGGCAGTAGCCTACCTGAAGACAACTGATGCCAGTAGGAATATAGATATTGGCTTCATCTTTGGTAAAGCTAAGCTTTCTCCACCTTCTGAGATTACTGTTCCAAGACTCTAGCTGTGCGCTGCTGTTCTAGCTGTGGAAATAGCAGAAGCAATCATCG